AAGCGTTTGCGAACCTGAGAAAAAGAAAGCCAAACTCGATACAGCTGTTAWTGAAGAGATTAATGATGAATCTGTAGGTGAAGACTACGTTGGCAAAGAAAGAAAAGTTGAAGAACCGGAAAATGGTGAAAAATTAGAGGAACTCAATGCAATGATTAATGACAAAGAGGGATCTGACGATGAAGATCCATGCGAACTTACATGTGCTATGCAAGAATCTTTACAAACCTTCCAGTACAAGCCGAGGATTAAGGAAAAGTACGACCTCAGGACGTGTTTGCAAGGAAAGAAAAAGTCACTTAAGAAACAATTATACAGACAATTGAAATCTAAGAGAGGCATCAAGTGGTACATCAATACTAAAGTAAGGTTTGTCAAGGCGAAGGCTGATGGTATAGATATCACATCAGAACCTCACTTTAGAAGCCGCTGTATGACTACCGTCAACGAACATGAAATCGACAAACAACTCGACGAAGCCAATGAGAAGATACTAAGCTCAATGATGGTCTTTCAGCGAGAGGGAAGCGGTTGGATGCTATCTGAAGTTATTCATCTAGACCTAAAGGTGGCACAGTATACCCCAATCAAAGGCTCAAGTTATGTTCCTTTGCCTAAAAAAATAAAAGATAAGAAAGCCATTTTGAATATCAAAAACCAAGACAACAAGTGTTTCATGTGGAGCGTGCTTGCTGCTTTACACCCTGTTCACTGGAAGAATCATCCCTATCGTGTTGCTCACTACGTACCCTATGAAAGAGAGCTGAATCTCAATGGAATTGAATTCCCAGTTCCTATCAACAAAATATCTAAGTTTGAGAGACAGAATCACATTACTGTTAACATATTTGGATTTGAAGATAAAGTGCTGTTCCCCGTTCATATCAGTAAAGAAAGATTCACAACCCATGTGAACTTATTACTCTATTCTCAAGATGATAAACACCATTACTGCTTGATTAGAGATCTCAACCGATTACTTTCTGATCAAAGAAAGCATAATGGCACTATGTTTCACTGTCCACACTGCCTACATGGATTTGTTCGAAAAGACCTCTTGAAAGAACATCAACCAAGATGCAGTCAGTTTGGTGCGCAACGGATAGAATTACCCACAGAAGAAAACAGATTTCTACATTTTAAATATTTCCACAAGCAACTGAAAGTTCCCTTTGTGATCTACGCTGATTTTGAAAGTTTGACTACCAAGATACAATCAGTCTCTCATGACCCCAGCCAGTCATCGACAGAAAAGTATCAGCATCACCAAGCCTGTGGATTTGCCTATGTGATTGTATCGGAGAGACAGGAATATTGTAAGTCACCAGTTCTTTACCGTGGAGAAGATGCTGTGGATAAGTTCCTTGAAATGCTACAACGGGAAGAGGAATGCATTCATAATCTCATGACAGATATCACCCCTATGCAGTTAACGCAAGAAGAGGAACTTCAATTTCAAAGTGCCACCGCTTGTCATATATGCAAAGAAGTGTTAGGAGCTGATAGAGTACGCGATCACTGTCACATGACTGGGGACTTTAGAGGAGCTGCACATAATGCTTGTTACCTGAATTTCCAATTCACCGGAAGAATACCAGTAGTTCTTCATAATCTGAAGGGCTATGATTCACATCTAATCATGCAAGGACTGGGAAAGATCAAGGATCGTAAAATCAACTGTATTCCTAACAACATGGAGAAATACATCTCGTTTTCTCTTGGTCACCTCGACTTTATTGACTCTCTCCAGTTTATGAATGCTTCACTCACACGTCTCGTCTCCAACCTCGCTAAAGAAGGTGATGTGAAGTTTAAAGTGTTAAAGAAATACACCGATGCAAGCAAAGTTCCACTCCTCCTTAGAAAAGGTGTTTATCCATACGATTACATGGATAACATTAAGAAGTTTTATGATCAACAACTGCCTCCTAGAGAAGCCTTTTACAGCATGTTGACAGAAGAGAACATCAGTGAAGAGGATTATCAACATGCGCAGAATGTCTTTACAACCTTTCAACTGCGAAATCTTGGTGAATATCACGATTTATATCTACTTACAGATGTGTTATTACTGGCTGATGTATTTGAAAACTTTCGTAACATCTGTTTGAACTATTATGAGCTTGACCCAGCCCACTACTACACCAGCCCTGGTCTGGCTTGGTCTGCCTGTTTGAAGATGACAGATGTAGAATTTGAGCTACTTACAGACCTTGACATGCACCTGTTTGTAGAAGAAGGAGTACGAGGCGGTATTTCAATGATTAGCAACCGTTACAGCAAAGCTAACAATCCATACATTCCACATAGCTATGATTCTACTTTACCAAAGAATTACATCATGTACTTGGATGCTAACAACCTTTATGGATGGGCGATGAGTCAACCGCTGCCGACCCATGACTTTACCTGGTTATCAGAGCATGAGCTTGCTGACTTTGATGTGATGGCTGTAGCTGATGATAATGAAGAGGGTTACATACTGGAAGTTGATCTAGAATATCCAGAGGATCTTCATGACAAGCATTCTGACTATCCACTTGCACCAAACAGAACGAAAGTAACCGTAGATATGCTATGTCCGTACTGTCAGAAACTGATGGAGGATCTCAACATGAGTGGAGCGTCAGTACACAAGCTTGTTCCCAATCTACACAACAAAGAGAAATACATCGTTCACTATCGAAACCTTAAGCTATACTTGGAACTAGGAATGAGATTGACAAAAATTCATCGCATTCTAGGATTTGCACAGAGCACGTGGTTAAAGAACTACATCGACTTTAATACTGACAAGAGGAAGCATGCAACTAATGACTTTGAGAAAGATTTCTTCAAGCTCATGAACAACAGTGTCTTTGGAAAGACGATGGAGAATCTGCGCAATCGCGTTAATGTCAAGCTTGTCAACAACAAACGAAGCCTCATCAAACTCTCCTCATCACCATCTTTTGACTGCTTCAAAATCTTTTCAGAAGATCTAGCCGCAGTCAACATGAAGAAAACCAAACTCTACTTGAACCGCCCTATCTACGTCGGATTCTGCATTTTGGATCTATCCAAGGTGTTGATGTATGACTTCCATTATAATTACATGGTTAAAAAGTATGGAGATAGCTGTCAGCTGTTATTTACTGACACAGATAGTCTTTGCTATGATGTCAAGACCGACGATATCTATGAGGATTTCCATGGGGACTTGGAATGCTTTGATACATCTGAGTACCCTACAGATCACCCCTTACACAGCATGACCAACAAGAAAGTAATCGGAAAAATGAAGGATGAAACACATGGCCAACCCATTGAAGAGTTCATTGGGCTACGCCCTAAGATGTATTCTCTATTGTTCCACGAGGGAGAGAAAGAAGTGGAAAAGAAAACAGCAAAGGGAATCTCAAAACATGTAACTAAGCGTTACATTAGACACAGTCAATACAAACAATGCTTATTTGAAAGAAAACGTACGGTGAATAATATGAAACAAATAAGAAGTGAGAGGCATCAGTTGTATACCATTAGTATTAATAAGATTGGTCTCAGTCCCTACGATGACAAACGATACATTGTACCTAATGGCGTAAACACCTTAGCTTATGGTCACTATGCAATCAACAACTTGTAAAATATACATATAAGATATATAATATATGATATATGATGATTATTGAATTGATTCATTCTTGTACGCAGCGATTATGACGTTCAATTACATGAAATATCATGTGTTTAATAAAATCAGTTAAAAGAAAAAAAGTGTTTACAATTCTTATAGATTCAATAAATTACTGAACTTAAAGCAAGTGAGTACGCTGATAATATACTTGTATGGCTTTACTGTCAAACTACACCAGATCCCAATCGATAAGCATTGTCAGTCACACCACTGAATTAAACAATGTATTTTTAAAATTAAAACAAACAATTCTAAATAATTCTGAAGTAATTTTTAATTGCCATAGAAACATACAAACACAAGATTCGCCGTTCACCCTGTCCTATCGTTTATATCGACCTGACATCGACCCTACATCGACCCTACATCGACCTGACATCGACCTGACATCGACCTGACATCGACCCTACATCGACATGACATCGACATGACATCGACCTTGTCAAAAATTTTTAAACAGTGAAATAAACACATTAAAAAGCCTCTTTTTGTATCAAATCATTTAACAATTAA